AAGGTGTGGGTGGAGGAAGAGAGATGGACGGCAGAGAGGGGTGTAGGTGGTCTATTTCCAGTAACTTCGTCGGAGCTGAACTGAGGCTAGTTTGGCCAAAGTTTATTGGGCTCTCTGTGAGGTATTCAGCTATCGGCATGTAAAACTCCAGAGGACTCAAGCCGCCCCTCCCAGGCAGCCTTGTAGAAAAAGCTTCTCCGTGAATCCCCCCTCCGGACAGATGAGTGGAATCTTCCGGCATAAAGGACCGTGAGAGTGGAGCACTCCATTGAGGGAACAGAGGGGGGTTGTGCAAGCCGCATACATCTTGCAAAGCCATAAACTAATGTGTAGATATACAATAAATTGTAACTCTGTCAATTATTACACTGTATGACATGAACTGCAAAAACATGTCATATATGAGTTGTAAAGGGCTTCAGGTCATTTATTTTCTTTATTCACCCTTGTCTCCTTATAGGGCTATGGGTCAGTTTGTTGGTAAAGAAGTCCTGGTTTACTTCAGAATTCGATTCCACTCTGCCTTCCTGGTGTTGATATCTTCTTGTGGTGGTGATTGGCTGTTGAAAGAAAAATAAAACATGCCGAGCCTCTTGGACCACCACGGTTCTTGATCCACACTTTATTCTTATGGAAAAGCAAAAGCAATGAGTACCATAGATCCAGAATAAAATATCCAATTCTCGATCCACTTGATGTCTGTATTCAGTTCAGTCTTAACCCACTAGTATCATAAGCTCAATAAGTAACTACAGCTGTAAAGAGCCTAGATCAAGGGCTGTTTATATAAGCACCATTCCCTGATTGACTTAACCAGAAACGCATGAAAATGCCAAAGTAAGCCTTTCAACCCAAGCTTGACGATACATGCCATGACATTTCATTTTCAAAGCATAGCATGTTTTGTGCTGTTGTGCTGTATTGTTACACTAATACTCAATCACCCATACAAAAAAATACAGTAGGCCTTACAGCATCATGCATAATGATATACTATAAATAGGGCTAAAATATGTTTCAAACATTTATAAAGTTACAAAAGATTTATATGTCAAATAAATCAAACTATTTAACATTTTTACTGTATTATTTGACCAAATAAAAGCTTTGACGAGAGACTTATTTTAAAATTGAAATGATCCCAAACTCTTCAAAATTTGGACATTTTCACTTAGGGGTGTACTCACTTTTGTGGCCAGCGGTTTAGACATTAATGGCTGTGCATTGAGTTATTTTGAGGGGACAGCAAATTTACACTGTTATACAAACTGTACACTCACTACTTTACACTGTAGCAAAGTGTAATTTCTTCAGTGTTGTCACATGAAAAGATATAATAAAATATTTACAAAAATGTGAGGGGTGTACTCACTTCTGTGAGATACTGTATGTAGCCTATTTTAACTTTGGCAACAGGACATTTTATATTATAAATGTTGTTTATTTAATTTTGATGTTTAATGTTATTGCTAGAAAATTGCAAGGTTACACATATTAGGATTGAAATTAATTTAAATAATTCAATCCTGCCAAAGCTTGTGTTTTTTCAGCAATACAAATTAAACATCACAATTAAATAGACAACAATTTGAAAATATTATAATAATTAATAAAGTATTACAAATAAACCACATTAATAACGGAAAATACATTTATTTATTTGTATTGAACGTTTTGTTGTTTCACAAGGGTTCTTTAGACTTGAAACTATAAAAATATAGTTTATATGACATTTAGTTTGACCACCTCCCGTAATGGAAGAACAACTCTTGCTGCAGGTTAACCTTCTTTCTGTCACTCAACATTTCTTGGAAAAGGGAAAGCCATGACGTCCGGCGTTCTGAACGGGCATAGCGTTCTGTTGAGTCGCGTCGCTGCAGAGCAGATGAGCCGAGTCCACGCATAATGAGAGAGAGGCGTATACAGTGACACACAAACACACCTGTCATTCTCACACAGACACACACGGAAGAGCGCCATACGCAATGAAACACGCCGTGACAGTAAACACTTGAGCTTATCGTCATACGGATCTGTGAATGTTGCGTTTGATCGCTTCATGACATCGCGCGTCGCGTTCATTAGATAGCGAAGATGAGAGTTGTGCTGCGTTTCATCTGCGCAGCTCTTATGCTCTCACCGGTAAGACACTCTCAACTTTATTTTCACTTCTGTGCAGCTTTCATAATTGCTCGAGTTTCAGCTTTAAACATATTTCACTTTAATAGCATGAATCATTTCCAGGTATCTTATTGACTGTTATTGTGTTTATTTAAAGAAAGGCGTGATTGATTAGTAGCCTTATTTGTATGTTACACTAACAAAGTACCATATGATCTTACCATATTTTTACGCGGTATAGGAGTCCTATGATAATTTCATTATTTTACACACTTCCTCCCCGATCTTGACTGGTTGTCAAGGCTGTAAATAGATATATGCAGATTTTATAAAGAAAAAAAAAAGGTTTTGGTGTAAGAATTAGATTTTTTTGGACCAAAACTTTATTTTGCTTAGTACTTAAACCGTTGCAGATTAAATCATATAACTTACATTAGAATAAATTGTAGATTATCAGGCAAAATGTGATAATGTGCTAATTTCAAACCATAATGCAAATACAGCTAACTTAACATTGGATGGCAGGGGTGGGGTAAGTTGTAACACAATTTAGCATTCCCTTACATAGAACTGAGAGCTTTCATGTTGTGTATATGGAGCTTTTTTGGCAGCTCAAAGCCAAAGGAATTGTGGGTCAAATGTGCCCTATGCAGTTTCTGGATCCACCAAGCCTGCACTCTAGGGTTAAAAACATCGGTTTGACACAATTGTGAATCTGACTGAGAAAATTCATACATCTCACACACAAATTAACACAGTTTTTTGTTAGATCTACATATTCTTTACCTCGGTACACTGGAGTTGAGTGTTCAGTAAGCATAAATACTGTTAAGGAGGTTTGTTCTAGTCTAATTTACACACACGCACACACACACTCCTGCATCGAAGAGAAAGTGGATTGGAGATGTGGTCATTCGTAGAAAGTGCGACATTGTTTTGTATTGTTCTTTTAGATTGTTTCAATAAACCTGTTTTTGAAGCAACCTTTATGAGGTGGCTGCTGTGCTGTTTTTGCTTGTTTTGTCTGACTGTTGTTACAACTTACCCCAGTATGTGTTACAACCCTGGTAGCGGGGTAGATTGTAACAAAGGCACTCCATGTATTTGACATCAACTTATAAGGGCTGTGATATTTTTGCAGAGGTTTAAATTGGTGCCTTCTGTAGTGAACAAATGTGAGTGCTTTGTATAAAAGTTTGAGCACTCTAGCTGAAAAATTCAGCGAGTTACAGATGCTGAAACAAAAAGTGTTACAACCATACCCGGTCTCCCCCTATTTGCGGTAGGAAATTTACAAAGCATCTTCATGGAACATGATCTTTACTTAATATCCTAATGATTTTTGGCATAAAAGAAAATTGAATAATTTTGACCCATACAATGTATTGTTGGCTATTGCTACAAATATACCTGTGCTACTTATGACTGCTTTTGTGGTCCAGGGTCACATATCACAATGCAAAAAGGATAGAACAATTTTCTTTATTGTTTTTTTTATTAATTAATTAATTTGGAAGTGAAATATGATTCTAGCTGTTCAGTCCAGCATCAAGCCAATTCGTGATCTGAATTATTTCATAGAGTCATATTTGCTGTCTAAATGTAAACTACATAGAATACAGCCTAATCTAATCTTTCATGCTGGAGATTGAAATGTGGGTCTGTCTCTCTGAAGGTTTGGTGCGAGTCTCCTGATGCTGATGGGACTCATCATGGAGACTTTGTGCGGTTTGGAAATGTTCTTGACAGCGTGATGGACAAATGTAACGTACAGGTGCAGTATAACTGCTCTGCTGCCTGTCGAATCAGGGTCGAAATTGTCATTTCTACCCCAAGAAGGACAGGTGTGATAGTCTACAGAAGGACCTGGGCTAACCATAAGAGATTTGGAAAACCCAGATCCAGAACGGTTCATCTAGTGTTTCCTCCAGCTGTGCTGTACCGGAGAGACTTTTTTGTCAGGCGACCACTGGAGATGTGCAATGTGGTGCTGAGGGCCTGGATGGTTCATCTATTTGAAAATGAAATTGGTGGCAACCATGATAAAGGATATGACCAATCTCTTGCGAGAACGTCTACATCTTTGAGGACACTTCCACTCTCTGAGCGTCCAGCATATCCACAGACAAGGTCGGTCTCATGGGGCACATGGCTGATGTGGCAGCTGACCAAAGATACTGTGAGGAAATGTCCACATGAGTCAGGTGGGAATAGAATGCTCTAGATTTTGTCCACATATGGAAAACAAAAAGTCAACACTTACTGAAAATCTTATTCACAATCATGTTCAGATTCCTACATGACTTCTCACACTAGGTTTCTCATCAATGATGCCAAATCACCACTGGTTCTCATGTATGCTATAACCAAATATGATATATCAGTTTAAATAAATAAGATGGAGAACAAGATTTGACATGACATGCTCTCGAGCAAAAATGAGAAAACTAGTTTAGGTTGTTTGAACATACTGTACTGTCTTGATTTACCAGGTGCATCAATGGCTAATTATACTTCTACACTCATTTATTTGTTCATTTGTGTCTTTCCAGACATTGTGGATATCCTGACCTTTCCATTTGCGAGCACCGGTGAGAGGTTTGGTGTCATACACACATTCTCCTCCTTTAGAAACAGAGATCTAGAATGGAGACGTACCCTCGCTTTCAAACAGCCAAGGTCAGACTTGCTGTCAAGAGGCTTCATTCAAATTCTCACTGCTACAACACCTCTATAAACACTCAGAATATCCGAACAACAGCCTAGCAACTCCCTAGAAAGTATTAACAACACCTTAGCAACTGCTTAGCAACACTTAAGCAGCCACCCAAAACACATAACAACACGATAGCCACTACTCAAGACATGACCTAGAAACTATCCTAAATGCAACACCCTTGTCATAAAATACCTTAGCAACACTCAGCAATGTCATATAAATGATACATAACACCTTAGCAACAACCTGGCAACAGCCCTACAACCATCCAGAATACACCATAGCCAGGGGTGTCATGCAGGGGGTGATGAGGGGCACAATAGCACTTCTTGTGTTTTATTTATTGTTTTCCTTTTTATTCGAAACATTCCCAAACGCATTAACTATATCATGAAATATCTCGATTCTCAACTTTATAGATTATATTAGTTGATCTATAGTGGGCGATGGTCAAAGTAGCCTAATAATGTAGTCTATTA